CAATCGACATGCCATCTCTTCCATTCCATAGCGCCGAACTTCCGAAAAATCCACATATGCGGCAGAGATACCTCAATCTGATATCCCATGCAACAGCAGAGGACATATCTTCCCGGATAGTAGTCTCGCTCTAATGAGTATCTGACAGGCCAGGCATATTCTCTTCTAGGGCGATGGGGTTGAGCTCTATTTCATAATAATTAATAATAATACATATCCACGGCTTTCTTCTTAGTCAAGAAACCGAACGGAGACGACTCCGCGACGGAAAAATGAGGTCGACGCTGCCGCCGACGTCGGCGTCCCTGATGCAAATCCGAAAAGCAAAATCGCTGAGACTGCTGCCTCGACGAGCATTCGGGCAAGCGAGGTGAAATGGATCGAAGGTCCAGGCTTTCGACAGGGCGAGGAAGTTTCTCTCGCAAAAAATTTCGGTATTTTGACCGTGAGACCGAGAAACACATAATCGATTTCCTCACAGCCTGATCCCGCTAAGCCAGGAAAGATTCTTATAATTTTGCCCGGATCTTCCGCGTCCGGGCTCGCGCTTCTTACCAAGCGACTCATTCAAAGGGATGCTCCCGACTCGACCGGGTCTCGTCGAGATTCCGCTTCGCTCAGGAACGCTCCTCTGACTGAACCCGAGTATTGGCATATCATTCGCCATTTCCTTCCCGCGGTAGCTCCAGCTCCAGGCTCCGTTGATCTAGTAGAGAAGCGTCTCTCAATCGCTCGAATGAAGAAGCCTCTGATGCTAGATTCAAATGCTCGCGCCCTATGGCTGCCGTCCGGGGGAGTGCGTCGTCTGCTCGGTTCGCTGCCGCAGCGATTGTTGTTCAAAGTGTGTATGTATGGACACCACTATCCTATCTCTCCTTACTGTCTGTGTGTGGAAGAGAGATTCATTCGACCAAAAACACATCCGATGAAATTTCCAAAGCAGGGATTCGTGCGGAGGAAAATTCTCGCTTTTTGAGAGCCTATGTCATCGACGTCATGAAGGAAGCTCTGACGGTGTGACAATGGAGGTTCTCTGTTTTGGCTTCGACTACTTCGAAATCAGCAGCAACACATCCCGTAAGATCTAAAATTGATTCACTTCCCTCGCGATAGGTTTTTTGATCTACTCTCGAGCCTCGTATTGCCACTTTCCCAGGTTCCGGAATACGTGAATATTATTTCGCCGAATTCCGGAGAAAATCTGCGGGAGCTTCTTCTAGGTTTTCGCGTCTTGGACATGTGACAGCTGATTGTATAGTAGAGGTGCCGTGTTATTTCTTGACACTGTTTGCTCCCGGCAACCGCGCCTGCAGGGCTGGCTTCGTACGTCGGAGTTCGACTCTCTGGAGCTGCTGGGAAGCGATTTTGCAGTGCGCTAACACGCTCTGGAGTATCTTGGCCTCCTGTTGCTGGGGTGGAATAATTGAAAACGCGCTAGCGACATTCGATGCTCTCCCGGAAGTGAAGGCCTCTCCTGGCGTCTGACTTCCTCGAATTTCCGTATCTCTGTGCGGAATGGTCCGAACTCGCCCGATATTTCGCAGCGGGGAGTCGTGAGAGGAGTCCGTAGAAGATCAAGAATTTTCATCCTTATGCAGCTCGATGCAGAGAATTCGATTACATCATTTCTCCATGGATGCTTGCATCAATTGACGGTCTACTCGAGTGATTCCCTCTCGACTGCAGCATCCAAAGTTTCCCTTCAGTGTTTGCTCGCTCCCTTGACTTACGAGCTCCGCCGTCACCGAATCGATACGGGGTGGCCTAGACCTAAAGAGCCGTGACCGTTATACCTGGATGCTATGACGGCGTGATGAGAGTCAGATTTCGTCCTGTTCGTGGCTTCTTTCGCCTTTCGTCACCGAAAGCGCACGTAGCTCCGCATTAGAGACTGATAATAATTGATAATAAGACGGAGTTTGTGATCTACTCAATAGGAGTTCCTCTTATTCCCTAGAATATTCATGGAACATGCGGAACGGACGCAGATAAAAAAAAACAGAGAGCGATTTTTTGAAATGTTTTCCTCTCTCCGTCACCAGGTAAATATTAATCATGGAGAAGTTCGTGGTCGACATCGATGCGGTTCTCGACGAGTTCGAGGAGAGCGAGAGCAAGTTGCAGCCTCAAATCGCAGTCTTACCTCCTGTCAAGCAGCTAAGGACAGCTCCTCCAATGTCGCCCTTTGCTTCAACTCCAGCTCTCTCTGCATCCTCTGTTCTCAAACCAACGCCCCGTGAATCTGTCCAGCCGGAAACTGACATTCCTTCGAGAATAAACGGAAATGCGGTTCCGGCTGAGATTCAAGAGTCCGAAGCGTCGGAGACCCAAAATTACGACTCGAATGAGACCGAGGAATCTGAACTGATGGAGAACCTCCGATTGGAACCGGGGGAGACTTTTGAAGCGAAAGCAGCGGGAACTGTCGAGTCGCATCCGGTGGAGGTTCTCGAGTCGAAACCGGTGCCGACTCCAGGGTCGAAACCGATGCAGAGTTCCGAGTCGGAACTGGTGGAGATTCTCGAGTCGATACCGGTGGAGAGTGCCGGATCAGAAGCGGTGGCGACTCCCGATTCTCGGCCATCGGAATTCCAGAGGTCGGGAATAGGGGAAATTTCGGAGCGGGAATCGTCACAGAATTCCGAAACCGAGAAGGCTGAATCATTGGAGTCACGACCAGCGAGCATCACTGGGCTGCTTTCGGCGAAAAGTTCACTATCGGAAACGGCCCCGAAGTCAGATTCAACTACGGCGGAGGTTTTCGATGCAAAATCGATTGGGGGCTTCGAGCAGAAACCGGCGCCGGAGTCCGTTCCTGGACCGGGGGAGGACTCTGAAGCGGAACCGGTTGAACGGTATCTCTCTGGAACTCCGCAATCGACGAAGACATTGCAACCAAAAACGGGCCTGAGGTGAGCCGTCACAGATTTTGAGATGCCCATTCTTCTCTAGTCCGCTATAGAAGTATTCGCTCCGAGCCTATATGTTTTTCGTTGCAGCTCGCCCGCAGTGAAGCCCAAAACCCCTTTGAAAATACAACCACATCCATCAGGCAACGCGAGCCAAGGGGTCTCGTCGGAGCAATTTGAAGAGTTCCTGCGGAAGAAAAGCATAGAGAACGCTCATCTTCTAAGTGCTCATAACTCTCCGGTATTGCAACGATACCGAAGTTCGTCCTTCGGATTGAAGACGAAGCCCGCGGAGTCCGAGTCACCAAGACCGGCGCAGAGCGTCGCAGTTTTCCCAAGTGGCGAATCAGACACCAGAAATCCAGGGAAGGAAAATGACACAGGCGGTCAACAGCGACCGCGGAGCTCCGACCCAGAGCCCGCCATGAAACACCTCGTCAGAGGATCACAAGCAGCTCAGACCCCCGAACCTCCAGAGGGATCAGTTGACAGCGAGCCTCAATCGTCAAGTGAGATGATGGGAACCCATTCTCTCCCTGTGGGGGACAGCGGTCTCAAGAGAGTGGCCGCGTGTGGAATCGACGATGAGCCACGGAGCGCGGATGAGTTACCGAGCGACCATTGCACTCCGGAAGGAAAAGCCCGAGAGGATGTGATTAACCATGCCCCTCTCAAATCGGACGCTACCAATTTCTATCGCATTGTAAGCTTCGACATGAGCGCCGTGGAGGTGACAGAGGACGATCTCCATCTGCTGGAAGACGAAGTCCAGAACGATCGCGCTCCGAGCCGGCGCTCTCAAGACTCCGGGGCATCCGTTGAGCCGGTCGATCCTCACCAGGTCATCGAGAGCGAAGCCGCGGAAAACGTCGTCAATAATAACAGCTCAGACGCTCTCGAAACGTCCGATGTAAATCTTGACAATCCATTCGACATTCCGACCGGCGTCCAAACTCAGACGAACGCAGCCAGGCCGGAAAATCCTTGTCCTCAATCTCAGACCGAGGATGCGGCGGCGTCCGAGTCCTCTGATACCGTGGCGGCCGATCCCGACGTGGCATTGGACGAAGCTCCGCAGAAGACCCCGCAGTCAGATTCTCCGGCGCCGGAACAAGATGCCGCTGTGAATTCCGATGACGCTGATCAGGGAGCAGTGGGTGGCGGTGAGTGGCGAATAATTTTTCGTCCCGCGTTCGTGCATAGATACGCTCAACCCGCGGATTTCGATGGCGGATAGATCTGCACTTTCGCTTAATAGGTGATTCGCATAACCCCGACTCCTTGAATGCAGGACCGGAAGCTGTCGTTGCTCCGAGCGAAGAAGTCCTCGGTAAGGTCCGGCCGATGTGGATTCACGACGAAGATGCTCCGATTTGCATGAACTGCGGTCAAGACTTCACGATGTTTAGACGGAGACATCACTGCCGCGCGTGCGGGAAGGTATCGAATGATTTACCTACTTTCAAGCTACAACCGTACAAATTAATATTCGAGGTTTCCCATTGTGAGGGACATTGGGGGTTCCAGAATACCGACGATTCTTTGTGGAAAGCGAGAGTATAGATTGACGTCTTCCTTCAAGGTGTTATGCGGTAATTGCTGCAAGGACAGAGCGAGACTACAATTCATGGACGGCGAGTTAGCCCGAGTGTGTTCGTATTGCATAGAAATTCTCAACAGAGGTAAGCGGCTGAGTGGGCTCGACTTGCGAATTTCGGTACATCTGCCTGGGATCGCGTCTTGCACCAGAGCGACTCTCGCAACAGCCTTCATTTCTTAGCATGGTGGTCTACGAAATCGCCTCCGTCCTTGACGCATGCTCCTCTCTCGAGGTTCTGATTGGAGCGATTATCTTCGGGATTTTATTTTCATCCAACTCGTGATTCATCCATTCTCATTCCGTTGATCACTGTCATCCTTCCTTGCAACGCGTTCCTCTCGAGTAGTTCCCTTCGCTCAAACTGGGAGGTCAGAGGCCATCGTTCTGCTTGCCGAGTATGCGTTTGACTTTGATTGCCTGCGGAGATGGTCGAGTAGTCGAGAGAGAGATGAGGGGAGGAAGTGAAGAGTTTCAATGGCCTGTGAAGAGGGTATCGATGAACTCTAGAGACCGGCGCATGATTTGGCATGAGCTATGCGCTGACATCGACGTCCTAATAGTCAGTCAGCGCCTCCCGCTCGATGTTGTCGGCACAGTGTCTCATTCGACAGCCAAAGTCAGATGAGTCTCCTGCGTACTCTGGGTGATTGCGGCTTTACGATTCGTAGGAAGCCCTCCATGAATTTCCGACGACTGCTTGAAGATTTGAGATCTAAGATTCATTGCCCAGCCCGAGTTCAGTAAACGAAATTCCGTTCTTGTCATGACGCGTCCGTTGAAGCACGTGTAGAGTTCTGCTTTAGTTTCTTCGTCTCGTACTCTCGATTCCTCGATTTTATCCCTGTTCGAACAACGAAACTTTCGTGCTACGAACTAATTTAGGAAGTCACGAGTCAAAACTAACCGGTACGGCTCTTTTCACTTTTGTGACCGACTCAGTGGAACGATGGTCTCGGCCCGATCCATCAAATCCCATGGAATACTGTTCAACCGTAAGCCCTTTAGCACAAATGTCGTCCACAGCTCAGCTACCCCCGCCAACTGTCATGGTTCCTGTCGGAGTTCTGAAAAAAGGTGTGTATCATGAATCCGTCGCCCTGCCCTTCGTTTTCCGTTTCCGATTTCAATTCAAGCATGGCAGCCAGTTCTTACCATTGCACCGAACCTCTGCTCCGCACAAACTTCCATCTCGGAACCCTGTCCTGCTAGATCCTCGGTTTGGTTCTTCTACGATTCACGGGCTGGCCCGTTCGTCTAGAGATCGTGCAGATCTGCCATGAATCGACGTCCGACCAGAAGTAGTGGTAGTAGGAGTAGTGGTCTTCAGTTTCGAAACTTCTCACTCTCGTGTGAGCTCTTGGAATTTCCCATTCCCCGATCCGAGAGACACATTGAACTGGGATCCTTGTTCGATGTAAGTTTTACATAGACGTATCTGTGACGTTTGTCAAAGGTGGAGAAAAATCAAACACGGCTGGAAACGGCTTGGGAGGATCATCAGGATGCAGTAAGTCGGTCACGTTCTCAGACGGCATTCGACCGGGAGGCGATCTCACAGATCTTGACATTCCGTCGACACCTCCTGCGCAGAGAACCCCTCAGCGAACATTAAAGCAGCTGACCACTGGTAGGTCTAAAGGTAGGTAGAAGAACAGACGCACAGACAGCTTCGGCTTGAACGAGGCAAGATACGTGCTCGGCGGGGGAGGAGACGGCTAGGTTCGACGGGTCAGACGCACATTAACAGAGTGCTTTAGAACCCTTAGCGGGACTCTGGTATTAACCAGTATACTTCTTGTGTGGGAAGCCTTGTAGATCGCTATCCTCATGTGTTGTTCGTTAATTGTTCTGCTTCTTGCTTCGGGTGTCTTGGTGAATGTCCAAAGGGAGGGATTCATTGATTTCATCGGTCAGTTCGATTCTGGTCCATACCTAACGGATTTTGAGAGCGCAAGGACTCGGTTCGTCGGAGAACTCGACGCTCGATCAGTGGTCAAGTCGGGGGATTCGGATGAGGCTCCTCGAGCCGGCAATAAGTTCAGACAGCGGTCTGAAGTCTGAAGTGGACACCGAGTGGACACTCAGCGAGCACGACAGGTTCACTAAAACACTAACACTCTAGATCGTTTCCGCTCTCGCTAATTGGATGACTTCGTACATGACATCATCAGTCTCGGAGAGGGTCCCTGGTTTTGTGCTCCACTAATCCGGAGCGTTCCAATGCAGCTAACTTTGGGAACCGATACCTATATTGCCGGAAGTTCCTATTATATTTCGCCGTGAGCGAATGGCATCGGATTATCATACTTATTTAATGGGGGTCCTTTGATTTCTAGCTGTCGTTGCCCGGAAGTATCGTAAATACGTGTCGGTCACGGATTCGTTAGGCTGTCTACCGAATGTTCTCCTTTCGAATAAGTTCAAGCCTTATGACCAGCCGTTGACCGCCGGAACGCTGTTCAACTTACTGCAAGGTCAGCGGAGTGATTCGGGCTTCGAACGTGTTTCTGTACGAGATATCCACATGGGGAAGACTTTAGAAAACAATCTTCGATTCTTCGTTGACAGATCCAACTCTACCTCCCGTGTCGTTCGAGTTGACGCGACATAAGGTCCAGCTACGAGTGAAGATTGTAACACTGGACTGTTGCCTCGGGTCCCGTGTCTGGTCTTTCTGCTCGGAGGGTCTGGCCGCTTTCGGCCAAGAAGAAGTGGCTTTCATATTGGAGTACCACGCCGATGACGAGCTCGCAGTTCCTCGCGACGTTTTGAAACTCTACAAAATCCTCTACGAAAACGCTTGCAGAGGTTAGTGACGAAGGAGACTATCTTCGCAAACCCATGGGACATCGGTAACGATCCCCTGCACATCGCCATCGCTTGAACCCAGAGTCTCCTTCTCTTTCAGGAGCACCTGTGATACAGATGGATCACCTGCTTTTCCCGGGTGGACTTCTCGGTTCGAATGAGCACGCCGGGATTCTATTCTTGCGGACATCTCTCCAGTGTACTCAGAATATCCTGAAACCATTGCATGAGAATAATTATTTGGTTGCGATGCTGATCATGCGGAGTGAAGTTCCGTGGGCGAAACTCTTCCCTCTCCGTCTCCTGTTGAGACTGGGGGCTGAATCACGCTGTGAGTTTCATTCCCTTCGAATTAGTACGCCGGACTCGATTATGTCATACAGGCATCGATTCAAGTGTCGCCCCCAGGACCTCGATGATCACATAGTTCCTTGCTCTCCAGACTATCCGTGCCCTCTGGTCAGTCAGCGATTCCGGAAAGCAGTGTATTTCGACGGGGATCAACATTCCATCATGAGCATTCTTGCCGTAAGCATCAACTGATCGTGGATGCGATTTCAAGATGTTTTGTCCGCCGTATTCATCACTTATCGAATTCTTGCTTCCAGGACTTTCGTAACTATCAGTATACCATTCAAAATATCCCTGGCCTCGTCATTCATGTGGTCGGCAAAACCTACACAATCAAGGCCCCGAGAAATCGCTACGATCTGGTAAGTTCCCCTTCTGGGCTCTTCGCTGATTCAGGAAGAAGGACATTCGTGCCAGCCGGGAGGATCTTGTTCGGCCCATTCTACTTGACTTATGAGCGATCTTTTTGTCTAATGGAGCCGTCCCAACAGATGATGAAAGCGAGTACAACGAATGAAAATATTTTGGCGATTGGTTCGAACTTCTCCTCCGCGGCCGATTCTCATCTGGTCTGTATACAAGGCGAGGACGGGTCCTTCCAATCGCAAACCATCAACATCGCATCTCTACCTGTAAGTTCCCGATGTACGACTGCTTGGCCAGACGGCTCAGAGCGAGAAGCGGCTCACCGAGCTGAGTTTCTTCCATGATAACACTCGGTATCTGAATTCCCAGGTCAAGGTCACCGGCGCCAGCTTCCTCGTATTCAGTGGCGCATTGAAATCCAATTCCGGTTACACAGCGAAGAGCTCGATCGTCGAAGACGGCATCCTCGTCCAGATAGGTCCCCAAGACATGGCCAAACTCAAGCAGGCGATCCACGCCATGGAAAACTATCGCATCGTTTGCAAAGAGACCAAGGTGAGATTTCTAATCCAATGACGAGACAGTAAAGGATGGGGCGGCATGTCCTCGACGGTATCGAGATTAATCAGTTTCACGATCGTTCGCTGACGCAGCCCGCTGCTGGAACAGCGGAACCAGCCGAGGAAGAATATGTGGAACTCCAATGGGTGGAGAACGAAGTCACTCGGAACGAATCGGTCATCAGCGTCGTCGACGGAAGCTGCATGGCAGGAATCCCATCATGCAAAATATTCTCGGGGACTGATTACTCAAACGATAAATTCGTTGTGCGATGGACAGAGCTGTTCTTCCTAGCGAGCAAAGACACCGAGTAAGTAGGAAAAACAAGGACAGAACTTTCTGTTTCCTGTGGAGATCTTCGAGGTTCGAGGACTCCCTGCTCACGCGTTGTGAAACCTCGTATTGCAGATTAGATCTTCCGGATCCAAACAGACTTATTGAAGCTACGGCACGGTCGATGTGTGTGGCGCTTCTGCCGCACGCGGCAAAGCTCTACGAACGAGATCTGAAGAAAGTGGCCCTCAGGTAAAAAATTAATGGCTCCCGAGAATTCTCGATTCGGTGAAAATTTCCTCCGCCGACGTTGAGTCCTTACACATTTCGAACGATCGTCCAATATCCTCCCCGTTTCAGGATCAGCTTAGATCCGGAACAATTCGGCTATGAGCTAGGAGCGGGTGGCGAGCCGCTGAATGGGGAGTTTCTGGCTGAAGTCGACAGCGCCTTGGTGCCTATCATAACGTCATTGGACGGCTCCCATCAGCCGATGACCATCGAGTTGGTCTTCTACGTTCTGCTTAAATGAATCCTGTATATTATGCAAAGAAAGGAGGATATGTATCAGTCTTCTCGAAAGGAATGAGGGACGGGGCTCGAGAGATCGGGGCTCGCCTTGAATAAGTATAACGTTTGCCGTGGACTTGTTCGCGCCCAGTCAGATGATGATCACGTTTGTGGATCTTACTAGGCGCAGCCGGTCTACTCCCCGACTTATTATGTAAATACTTAATTGACAAGTGTCATAGATTTGATATCTGAAATGAGAATATGTTTCCACTGATCGCCTCGAACACGGCCTGCGAAGCCATTAAACTCTCGGAGTTTATCGTTTGTTATCAATGCGTTAAGTGCTTCTAGTCAGCACGGACCTGGAGAGACGATCCTTGAGTTTTCCCTCCCGTCCCTTCTACCGTGAGCTTCTTGGCTGGAGTCACCTATGAGTTCCCGCCCGGACAATCAGAGTGGTCATCAAGATGATAGCAAGTGCGTGACGCGATGAGTCGCCTGTGATGTTCACAGCTCATCGGCGCGAACTCTCGCGTTTTGCTCCGGAGTGAGACCAAAAGTCACGAAAATCTTTTTCGTCCTCGACCGATTCGAAGTCCGATGCCCCCCGGTCAATCGAGATGACCGCTCTGTTGTCGATCGATGGGAGCTCTTGATCGACCTGTCCCGTGGCCCCTGTTTCGTTCAGAGTCGGTGTTTTAGAAAACTCGATCGGACATCATGTCCGTGAAACCAATGCAGATGATTACCACGACCTCGATGTTGACAACAAAAGTGAAATGATACACGAATAAAGTCATACTTTAAATTCCTGATTGCTCCTCTAGAGTTCATCCCGCTCCCATTGAACTTCCGTTGATATCGATTTCAGCATATCAGACACGATCTTTGAGCTTGGCGTCACGCGCACGGAAACCCTCCGGTGGCAGAAGCTCACTTGCTCGGAAGACTTTCGCTCAAGATCATGTATGCCGACGACTAAGCACCTGTTCGAACAAAGGGCACGAATACCAAGGTCGTGACGTCCAGAAAGTCGTGGCAGCTTAATAGTCGAGGTGGACAGGAGTCAGAAGCAAAGTTTTCATTTTCTCGTTCCATTTCGCTTAACGAGCACGTCTACTCGGACTATACGGGCATCCTGTCCCTGGGAGATCTTTCATCGGAGCTTTCACGAGCTCCCCAGAAGAAATTGATGAGTCAAATCGTTTGAGACCTACGGCCTTTCGAAACAACAACAGTTCCAAGAGTCCGACACTTTATTAAAAAATAATTATTGATTGATGAATTATTTGGTAGCAGTGTCGCTAAGAGCGCTGTTTGAAATAACGGTCGAACGATACCAATCGCCTCCCCCCGTGGACTGGGATGGAGGCTCCTGAGAAGAACAAGGTGCTTGTCTGCCTGAACATTCTGTGGGTTTTTCGCGGATCAACCTATTGTTGCTTGCACTCGGTATTTTGCTGGGCCTTGCGCAAGTCTCTCTTGGATGGCTTGTAATCGGGGTCGGCGTCAGAACCTACAAAAAGCGCTCAGGGTTAGGATGCTGGGACGGGTGCCGAGGATAGAAAAGAGAAGATCGCATGCAATGAACAGGTCAGACTGCCGAGCCGCTTTGCCGCAATCCGCATATACGAGGCCTCCCCTCAGACCTCGGAACATTCGTTCCCTCAAGTTTCCAACATCGTGCGCCAGATCCCGAGAGTTAGAGCGTGGAACCCGGAACCTTCCACCAAGATCCTAGCACCAGTGAGTCAATGCCACCGAATTTGGCGTGACCGAATCGAACAGGGCCATACGAACAACGAGGCGGGAAGCCTTGCGAATCCCCGGAGACATCAAATCCCTTCCAGGCTCATGGAAGCTGCTTCCAACTGGATAGCTCTCCAACGGGGTTGACGACTTCTTCCTTGCAGTGCGCGGGTGGGAATGACAACTCTCTCTGACAAATATAATCTCAGAGCTTTATTAGAATCTTGTATATGGATTAAGGCGTAAATATTGCTCTCCCTTCTCCCGCGATCACCTCCCGAGGGTTCCTTCTTGCAAAAGAGGCAGACAGAGAGGATCATTGCACATGAACAATCGTCGTGAGGAATATCGTAAGGGTTTCATATGTTGATTGTGTGTCTGTGTGTTTTCTCGTGTGGGTTTTGGTTGACGTGAGTTTTTTTTTCGTTACTACTATCGAAGACGATGCCAAAGCCTTCGATTGCTCGCTTCCCATTCCCGCCCGAACCCAGCACTGCGAAGTTGACGCCGCCTAATTTGCGTTTAGGTGCACATGAAGTTGGAAAATCTAATTGAATCCGACAGCTCAAGAGGTCGCATATTCAAACGCGTCGGACCGCTAAGCTGAGGAGTGGAAACGTAAAAATAATTTTAATTCGTAGTCTCTCGACTGAAGAGGAAACACCGAGTCAACCTGTTAGGCGGTTGACACGATGGATCTGCAAGGTTTCTGTTTTCGTCTCAATTTAATACACACCAGCAGCCTCGTCTGCGTCATCGAGTCCTTCGTCCAATTCTTCGTCGTAGTCCTCGTCGTAGGTCGTCATTTCGCCTGCGGAGGGAAGGTTCAATCAGGCACGAATTCCACGATTCGGCTTTGGCCCGACACTCAAGGGTCAATAAGTAATTTGCTTCCTCCGGGCAGCTGATGAACAAGCTAGATGAAAATTGCTTCCGTGAGTCAATAACTTGAGGGATCATCTCACCGGTGAAATAGAGAACCGCTCGGGGAACGAGGCGTTCGCGGAAGAAAGAGCCGAGGTTCGTGTCGGTGTGGAAGGCTTCAGCGAGATCTTCCTCCATATCCTCGCTGTATTCGACCCACTCGGTGTTGTTGAAGAAGTTGAAGAACGAGTCTGTCTGTACGGACTTGACGACGGTTCTGGTAACTCCAGTTTTCTTGTTCTTCTGTTTCTTGGTCACCTTCTTTTGGGTAACATCTTTGTCGTCGGACTTCCAGTCGATTTTCATGCCCTTCATGGCGATGATTTCAGGACCGTCGAAATTGAATGGATCTTCATCGGTCGGCGAAAGCTTCAACTTGAACTCTTTCGTCAGAACCGAATTGCTGTAAGAGGAAGCGATACCCTCATGCCCGTGCCAGGAGTCGACCCAACCTCCAGTAAATTTTGGCGCCCATCAGGTCTTGGGCGACCTCCCAGTCGCGCCGAGACAGAAAAGCACGAACAACGAGCACACTGACCTGAAGAAGTCATTGGGGCTGAAGTGGAAGTGGAGCTTGAAGTTGTCGACGCCGTCCTCGATCACGACATCGGTGAGATGCTCGAGAAGGGGCTCATCTTCCTCGGTGATGAAATCATTCGTTCCGTCGATCGCGTTCTTCATACAGGTCAACCAGAACGAGGGGATTCCGCTGACGGTCTGCAATTGTCACCGCACACTTGATCGAATGGCTCGAGTCGTGACCCCGTTCTCCATGGGTTCCAGAAACCTCAGAACGGTAGCATAACGCGCGAAGGCTTCGCGTGGGTGATGTCGTGCCGGCGCTCATTCACCGCCGGGATGCCGCTCAAATTCCTGCTTCACCCAGACCGCGTGTATGTATCATTAGATCGGAACGGACATTCAAACGTCGATCGTCGATCGTTGATTATTATGCGATTGCGAACATCAAGTGTAAGAGAAATGTCTCCCGGTGGAGTGACTCGGGAGGAAGATCGCTCGAGATCATAAACGCCGACGGAAGCCGATACAAAGCAGGAATACACCAGGGATTTCGCGAAGGCGTCCTCGAACCAGTCGTGACGTCATGCGCGACGCACCGCGTGCTAGAAGAGTCTCTCGACTTTATACGGGCTAAAAATACCAACATTCTAAGTTTTCTTTAGAGCAGAAACCGACGTGGTCGGTCAAACAGGTTCACGCGGGGAAAGTACACACAGCGCGATCCCTGCCGGCAGCAACGAAAACGCCGCCGGCTCTGCTGGCTGATTGATGCGAAGCGATCGTGCCGATGGCATCCTAGTCAATGATGAAGAGCTGGCAGGCTTACCTCGGAGCTGGGACTCGGTTTGGCAAGGTCGGCGGCGATGTCTACGTTCGTCTCTTTGTACTCGCACTCTTCTTCCGTAGGCTCATGCTTCCCCATGGTGATTTCGTTCCTCTTGCTGAACAGCTCATTATACTTGGCGAAGTACCGGTTCTCCAGCGCAGCTGCCTCTTTGTAGAATTCGCCATTCAATTTGAGATAATCCACCTGGAGCTTCTTGAGAGCCTTGATGCGCTGCTTGACTTCGTTCGGAAGGGCCGCGATGTAGTGGCTGGGCATGCCTACCAAGGAGTTCAGTTTGTTGGACATCATTGAGACTACACCGGGGTCGGTGAGCACACGCGTCTTCAGAGCAGCCACATCCATTCCTAAAACACCAAACCAGCCCTGCTACCTCCACTGAGTCCACAATCGCACATGCAAAAGCTACTTATCCGGAGACGGGGTGGGGGAGTCAAAAAAAACTATTCGAAAGCTCGGCGCTCTAGTAAGAAAGTCATGACAACCGCCCCGGCGACATCCCCATGAAGCAGAGCTAGTGGAATGGAAGGTATTGGAGATCAGCGAACAATTGAAGCGAATCGCTACAGCGCTCCAATGTTTCTGCTCGGGAGAATTAGGCGCGTGTCGCTCAGGCTGCAGTTCCTACATTTAGTGGCGAGTGCGACTGTTTTGACAAATCGGCATATGTTGCCGAATTTCAATGGGATTAGTCGAGAGAACGAAGCTAGCTCCTGAGCCTTATTCCATTCATACTTTGTGCCATCAAGCCTCGGCGATGCTTGATTTCTATTCACACGTGCACTAGGCACCGCCCATGAATCAACGGGACGGTCGGAGCCGCGTCCACCGCATTGAGATCGCGGATTCAACTCGCGGTCAATGACAACGGAAGGACGTGTAATAAATAGGCCGATTCCCGCTCCATGCGGTGACTTACCTTCAATGTCTCCTCCGTTTGAGGTTTTATCATCTCCTCCGGCCATTGTGAAATACCCTAATTGTCTCGGAAACTGATTAACGAGGTAATTTCTCGGAAGAACTTAAACAGTTCTGCCAGCACCGGACGGTAACAGGAAAACGACTGACTGGTCACCAGAGGAACGTCTTCAACTTGACGGACTTCGTGAATGTTGTCGGCCCAAGGTACACGAGGTTCGTATGTGGCCTCTCTGTCCAAGCAAGAGTTGCAACGCGCACTTGCTACTGAGCCGCTCGAAGCTGGCGTGTGGTACCGTGTGGTTCTTACGCCTAGTCTGGAGAGAGTCCGATCTTATTCAGCCACCACAGTAATTCCCTCGGAATTGGTGTTCTTTCCCCATGGAGAGGAACTAATCTCAGAAAGAACGCCTCGGGTAAAACTCAGAATCCGGAAAGTATTTCCCATCTTCTGATTTCGAGAGGATAGTGTGTTTCGCGGGGATGATACGAGTGGTTCGTGGTACTAATTTTTGGCGCCAAAGCGCGCCTGATACGAAACAACTTCAGCGCCCATCTGCTAGCCCGCGTGGAATGCTCATCGTCAGGCGAATCCATGCTTTCTGTTTTTCGCTCAGGATGTCATGGAGGCCCCTGATACGGCTGAGCCTGGGAGTCTTGTAGGAAGCGGGGCGCAGACCTGATTCGGAAAAATATTCGAAATTATTCCTGGTTGCCGAGGTACTCTCCGAGAGCCGCATGCAAAGACAATCAATGTCGGCGGGTAATTCTGGTACCCCAACTCTAACAATGAGTAATCTGGAACGCTTCCGCGTCTGCGCATTGCTCCGCAGAAAAACAAGTCATCCCCTCCGGCGTCAGGTGTAAGGGACCATTTCTAAACCTTCTCAAGATGAGCCCGTCGGGGACCTTCCGGAAAATATTTCACTTCGAATTCGCGAATTTTCCCGCGAGACTTCGCAATGGCGTCTGACTAGAAGGAATCTTGTCGGGACCCAAGGGTTTGGTAATGTCTCACCATTATCTCACTCCCGAGTTCACTTCCCGACGAGTCAAGAGCGATTCTGCAGAATTGCCCGGGCAGAGGGCATATCCACCATCGCCATGCTTGTCGCGTGAATGGTTGAAGCCGCCGGCTTTGTCTTTCTTCCCTTGGAATCGCCTAGATTATCAGTCTCAGAGGGTTGTATGCTCAGAACGGCAGGTAGCGGAATGTCGGGTAGCAACGCGTTCGGAGGCTAGGACTCAGGGCCTTCATTTGCGCTGGCCAAAAAAAAAGAATAATAACGTGTGAGCGAGATAAGCGACGGAGTCTGTAACTTGAGAAGCTTATCGATGATTTCGCACTTGATCTCTGAGGTTTCCTCTTCGCGATATGAGGCTCCGCGCGAAGTTCCAGAGTGGCTGCTCAGCTACTATGGGTGTGTGCAAGATACTCCAGAACGCTCTCTCCATCGAATTGAAGAAGGAAGGGGAATGCACTTTTCCGATGAGAAAACGATGAGGGTAATCTAGGTGACTTCCGAAGAAGGGCACGAATTCAGCGAGAAACTTCGCCGGGTGCCAATGCCCAAAGGACCGGGCCGAGGGATTCCGGAATGCTCTTTCAGTTCAAGTCCGCTCCTCCTACTTCTCTCTCCTGGTCGGAACGAATCCAACTCTGATCAGAGACATTGATAGGAATACCGGGGTTCAGGCCCACTCAGTTTCCGTCGCAAATCACGTCGCGAGATCCAATCATCGAAAGCGCATAGCCGAAAACCGGGGCGAGCCGTCTGATAGAGAGCGAGTAGGATTCTCTTTTCCCTGGGATCTTTATTAACGAAAACGAGGGAATGAATCATATCCCTGACGACTCGAGGAGAAAAGATCGAGATTCTGCACATCAGGTGGAAGCTTCTGTCGGTCGGGAAAACAGCTCGAGAGCCCGACTCCCAGAGCGCTCTACCAGTTCTGTACACTTGAAGCGAACGTGTGCCCCGTTCGAGATTTGTTTAGAGGTCTAGAGCGAATAACGAACAGTAACGGAGGATCCGGTCTTCTGCCGCCAGTCGTCGCTCGTAGAATATTCTAATTTGAACGATTGGGTGACAAAAGCAATCGCTTGTTTCATGGCGTGTCCAATCTTCAATATCTCTTCGCTTCGGGAGAATTCCGTGCCGATCCACAATGATATTCTATCTTGAGCCTTGCGCTTCGAATACGAGACTCCATTGACGTATTGGGACAGTATATCGAATTGATCCCCGATTAGGAACAACAACAACTCAAGCCATACTTTGTCCATGTCTGATGATCTGTGGTTCTTTTCCCGGGGGCAAAAAGACCACATCCCGCCCTGCGAATAGAGAGGCATCAGAGCTGTAGGACTGCGCTACCCGCTTATGCGAAAGGTTCCTCTCCTCAGCAATTCTATGGACTAGCACCACCCGGGACGAATGTCGCGGCATTGAAGTTGAACAGGATTAACTTCTAGGGACATTCGCTTGCCGAGGGCGGGAGGATATGGTGGCTGATAATCATAATTACAGATTGGTTGGCGGAATCCTCCCACTCGGGTCGAACGTGTCGTTTGAAGAAGCTGAAGTCCTTGCCCGGCGTCAATTGGGATGGGCAGATCAGATCATTGTAGAGGCACCAGAAGTCCTCGACTGTAGCCACTTTACAGACCTGCCTCAAGTTCTCGTTCCATTGTTTGCCCTTATTGCCCTGTGTGGAGGATAAGTCACCGAGTTCGGATTCAAGCAAGACCGGACCGCGGCTCCCAGGACCGCGATATAACGCACCCCTCGCCAGATATCGGAATTGCGTGGGGAATCGCTGTCAAGGACCGCGAGTTCGTGACAGCTCGGTTGCCTCCCGAAGCTTAGCTAAACCATGATGAGGGAAAATGGGGCACGGGTCCTCCATGATAACCTCTCATTCGAGCCACTCACCATGTAATACCAGAACGTCCAAGTGTCCTGCAGCGGATGCTTCATTTGTTTAAGATCCGCAAGACTCACTCGACGCGTATCCTGTTTCGCCGCCCCGGTGGCAACTTGGAGCGACAGCTTCCTCTTGGCGGATTTTCTCCCACCCTGCTTCAGTTCCTCGATTCTTTGGTGGCATATTGGCGAGGGTTTCAATTTCGGTTCACTCCTTTCGTCGTCCAAATCAGGAACTTTCTCATCTACCTCGCGTTCCACAACCGTGTCCACTGTTTCGTCTTCAGGGGGACATCTTCGGAAAGCGGAAGAGGTTTTCAACAACACATCACTCGATCTGCTCCGCAATCGATCCACATCAAGCTCCCGGGCGCACGTCTAGACTTCGACGCTTAGCTATCGATCTGGCAATGAAAACTTGATAGAAGACTCACATATCCGGTACCGTGACGGAAGGCGGTCTTCCTTCGTCGAGGCTTTGCGTTTCCATTTCCGAAACGGACAAATCGGTGTTCTCCGATTCTTCATCTTGGGGGACCTCTTGATCAGGACTCCGATCCACGTGTTTTGAAACCGCATGTTTCTTCGACTTGGATTTCGATTTCTTGACGGGTTTCTTCTTCGTTCCCATTCCGTATCGTTCGGTGCAGACAACTCGATTCAAAAGTTCGCCTGTTTGATGAGCACGGCTCGAGGAGACTAAGTTCGTTAGTTTCGGCTTCCGAACCGTCGTCGAACAAATGATGGAGAGTCTGCTCGAAATATGAAACCAATCAAAACATCCCCTCATCGACAGCAGAACTTCGCGCCGAGAATGCGGCGAGTCGTGATATCAAATTCGTAATGTGCACGTGCCGACTCCGTCGTGCGGCCGTTGTCCTGGAGCCGTGCGTACAGTCTCGAGTCGCCTAAATCCTTTCCTCGAGGACAGGGTCAGGATCTACGGGACCGTGTTTCGGTGCGGAGTGCGGATTTGTCTACCAATGATCTGCGCCTAACTTGCCCTAGAGGTCGGAGTCAGGGTTCTAGCCCAAGGAAAATGGAAACGTAGTGGCACCGCTTTCCAAACGTGTCCAACTTCGAATCCAAACTTCGAGTCGAGGTCATGATGGGAAAATACAGCTCAAGCTAAAATCGAAGGTCCGAGGGTACACCGCACGACGAGTAATGGAATAGCTATGCGAGATCGGATTCTGGCAGACTGGGTTGATGTCCAGTCTCGAATTCGAAACCTGAGCCCTCACCGATGACAGATTGAAATTCTAGCAATAGGCACATCATTAAAAAAGGCATACGATTTCCCGCAGCCTTGAAACATGCCCAGCAGTTGGTCGTCAGTCTCAATCGCGACTGACGGCATCGTCGAGAACTGGGCGTATCCTAGACCTAGACTCCGAAGGCAGAGCGAGGATTTCACTTTATGAAAGCCGCTCGCACTCCCTACGCGATCCGCCGCTACATTCCTCGAAATGTATTCGTCATGTCCGGAGGAAATGGAAGACCATCAGAGCCGAGAACGATCCTTTGATTTCGTGATTCATTCCCATGCTCTCGAGTCAGTATGCTGCAGTCCCAGATGACTCTTTCCGTATCAAAGTCCGATCTGTTCCGACAGAAGAAGAACCAGAGCTGGGCACGCAGCGGGGCGAGTCGGGATGCGCGTTTTTGATACCATGGGATCCATTCGCTAATCCCGCAGAAGTCGAGATGAGTTTCTGCTCGCTCTCGGAAAACCCCTCTCTTCGGAAGTACTCCCTGGAATCCTATTTTCGAGAGTCTGCTCTGAAATCCCGTGCACCGAAAACCCAAAGGAAATAAACACGAGTCTCGACGCAATTTGCCAAAGCCTTCTCACGACTTGCTGTGATGAAGATGTGGTTTGATATGGTGAGCTCCTCATCGCCGTCCTGTTTCTCGTCTTCCCTTTTCCCATACCACCACTATCCCACTGTCACCCTCGCCGTCCGCCCGCCAGCCAGCCAGCCAGCCAGCCAGCCAGTCATCGGAGCGAGCGACCAACCAACCAGCCAAGCAAGCAGTGGCGGCGTCCCGCTTTGGCTGCTGCGCTGCTGGCTGTCGTCTATGATCCGCTCATCCGGATTCCCCAGTGGAATCACCGCGGCGCGTAATGCTATCTAGACACAGGGAAAGCATCGGGCGAGCCGGCGGCCGAGCGACTCTCGTTGCACGACAGAGTGGGACACGCCTGCGGCCCACATCAGTCATTACATTTCAGACACAGTCTCGTGCACAAACTCACACAATTCCGCAGTCGCCTTGCAACTCAATGTGGAGTCCGCTCTATCTTAGTAATCTTCTCCCTGGTCGTCGCCATCTTCTAGTTCCCATAGGACACCTCTGATTAGAACGGCCAGGGACCGAAAATTTCACTTGCCAAGCAGGACGACTGACCGACGACCCAGCCTGTGTCCGTCGTCTCGAGTGAACCCGCTCTGCCAGCGAGCCTACTTTTTGGGTGTGGTCGAGTAGTGCAACAAGATTTCCCGGTTATCTCTGTCTGACCGTCAAACTTTGCCTCATAGCGGATGCTGATGAAAGACGAAGAGGTCAAGCGAGTCTCACCCAGTCGGGTAGAGCTCTCGATCAGCAGGTGTCAAAGTGGCATTCCGCCATGAATAGCGTCATCTACAGACTCATGAATACAAAGCCGATGCCGCGTGGAAGAGAGCATTCACAATCAATCCCTCCATCCATCGGGGGACGAGCGAGGCTTCCGTTCGACTCGATGGCCTCTGTTCCGAATTCCTCACCCCGGGATCCCACGTCCACCTCGTCGGATTGCGCATCGCACGAATGCATAACCCGAGAAGAATGATATCTCAAAACCTCTCCCGGGCGGGAAATGGAAATCCCTGCCCGCCACTGGAGAGGACCAGGGACGTACCGGAATATTAATGGGTCTATCAACAGCTCGGACAGTATACGATAAATGCACTCGGTGTGTATGTAGATGGAAGGTGGCAGAACACGAAAAAATCCGCATGCAGTATTCACGGAATATCGCCGGTAGCCTCCGATAAGTGTGCGTGCGCGCACGAGAAGGCCTGCCCTGGCAGAGCGGGAATCTACGGGGACGCTTCGGAATAGTAGCCGGAGAATACGATCAGAACGGGACTGTTGCTAAGGTCGTCGACGTCGATGCGGATCTGATCTGAATATTTTCCTCGACGGTTGATCCTTCGCAAGACTCCCATCTGTCACTCGGGTTATTCCAGCCAGCGGCTCCGCCTGACTTTGCTGACCCAGGCGATCCAACGCCTCCTCACGCCTAACGTTCTCTTTTCTGCGCGAAGCTGCCATCAAGGTTTTCCCTCCTCGACGTCGTCGTCGTCAGGGATTGAGGCTGTTTTCATTCCGGCGGACGCCTGGAAGAATAACTTTTGATGCGTCGGATAGGCTCGTCACCGTAATCTCGGGCTTCGATTTTGTGTCGTGTCTCCGAGGGAACCTCTGCGGCCACGCTTAGTACAAGGAAGCCATCGGACGTATTGACGCCGCTGAATATTTTCCCCGGTCGAAAGGACATCACTGAGATTCGCGTCAACGAAATCGCGACGAAGAACGTGAATTATTCAGAGAATTGTCAGGCTTGTTGCAGCTTTCGGCCGGTAGCGACTGCATCTTGCGTTTACTACGATACGGTCGTTGGCGTCACGGTCGCTGCAGCAGCGTTTGTCGCGACAACTGTTGCAAGTAAAAGTAGCAGTGGACGTGTTCTCCTTGGAGCGCCTTAGCCGGAACCTCCTCCGGTACATAGTTAATAAGCTCATACGCTGCATGCTGGAGCAAATGCCGCAGGTGAACTCACGAATGTCGAGTAGCCGTGTTCATAGACGCCGTCCATATTTACCCGCCTAATCCCAGCCGTTTGTCGTCCTGTCAGAGGGAAACGAGAGCGACAGCGGCGGCGGCGGTCGCAGCGGCAGCGTCACACAGGCAAGAAGGCTTGAGACTGTCGCTTTTGTATGCGAAACAGGCTCACGCTCGAAAAAGAAGAACCGAAATTGGCCGCTATATCCCTACCATTTTGTACCTTGCTCGCTTTGCTGGTCGGTCGCTCGGTTGGCTTGCTCGGGAGCGAGCTGAAGAGCTGGTTTGTCGAACGTCTTGTCCCGCATATATATCCTGCCGAGGACATTTGTCATTCGTGGATTTTCGAACGTGGACTGCGTCAGGATGCAACTGCGTCCCCTCCTTACTCCTGACGCCGCTTTTCAAGCTGACCAATCGTCCCTCTCAACCCGAGACGCTCCCGTGGTAACATTCATCGTGGGATGGCTGACGCGACTAACACGTCGGGTTTCCCCCCTGCATTCGGAGTTGTTCCGTAAGCTTTCGCCCCTTCTCCGCCTCGAAGAATGGCTCAAGCTCCGGCCGGCGTTTCGGCGTCAAAGCTCCGAATGATCCCAGGGGTGATGCTCGGGTGTGCTGCGTCGTCGGGATCTCCATCAAGAAACTCGAGGGACGTTCTCCGCTCGGAAACGGGTGAACGCTTCGATTCAGTTTAATTCTGCTAAGTTGGACTGCCGACTACGAATCTCGAAGGAAGGACTCCGGAACAGGGAAAAGCGAAGCCGAGGAAGACGAAACGAAGTCGAGTTTGCCGCTATCGTCCGAAGGAAACAGTTGGCGATGAGCAAGAAAGGCAGTCGGATAAGAAGAACTCGCTCACTCGGAGATCAAGTGCAGAGCCCAGAGTGGGAGAGCGAGGAGGCAACCGCAATACGGATAGGCGGACCACTGTTGCCTTTAATCATTCCCGACGGCTCCTCGTGTGTTCGTTGAGTGACTCGCAGATCTGGCAGAATGAGTCCGGTAGAGACGTGAGGAGGAAGGAGAAGAAGAGGAGAATTGTCGGATAGCTTTGAAACATCTCCTTGAAGGAGCACTCCTCCGGGATGCCGTAATTATTTGCTACTGATGACCCTTGCAACTGCTCGTCCGCCCCGCAGGCGCCTCTCTCGAGTAGCCTTTAACGGCGCCTACTGCGGCGGACCTTTCTCCGGCTTCCCAATTCGAAACTTTACTCTGACGGGGAACAGGCAGAGCACTCAAAGAGAGCAGATCATTTATGCAAACCATGTGCCATGCGATGCCGTCGCAGACCCGAAAAAAATGTCTGTCTCGCCGAGAAGCATCCTGAAACGTCTCTGGAGAGCGAGACAAGCTTAGGTATTTACTGCTCGTTCATAAATAATTCGTTCGAGTGTAATGCGAGGAACAGCTTGCGAACAAGACGAGTTCGTCGCGTCGATGATCGCTCTCGACATCGCCGCGAGCGAGGACGGGACGAGATCGCGTCGCCGACTGTGGGCGATCCCATGAGAGATAGTTCGATATGCAGATCTGCTAATGTCATCGTTACGCTCTCGTCAAAGGAACAACTCGAAGAAGAACACACTCTTCGAGATTCCAGTCGGCGGAGCAATCTGAGATTCCCCGTTCGGAACGCCGTCCGTTTTCCCTTCGGTGCTCACCACTATCCGGAACCAGCAGCAACACGTTCCCTACGATCTAATTATCGTCCCGCTCCCCCATTTTCGTCCTTCGCCTCGGTCGGTCAGGAATCTCATCATCTGACCCGGGAGCAAGCGGGTGTCCAGAAAAGGATACCTCGAGAATAACTTTTTTGTGTGGCCGACCTCAGTGATTCTCCTCCTGCCGCCTTGAACGCTTTCCTGAACCTTTCCCGCGGTAGCTGGAGCCACTCTGGGCGGTCGCACTCAAGAGCGGCCGTG